TATATATATCGAGTCAAAATTACAATGTTTATCAAAGCTAATTTAAATTAGCTAAACAGTTAATATTTCATTTGTCGATAATGTTACTATTCGATTCTAAGCCTATGGTTTGATAGTAATATTTTTGATAAATGAAAATTATATATTTAACAAACAAGAGTTTTGTTATATGTTGAAAAAAACACGGTCATGTAGATTTCAAAATAAAACATTCCATGAAGTAAATAATTACAAAAAGTACTTCGATAATTATATTCAATTTTACATTTGACTATAACACATAAAAAAATAAACTCAAATTTTCATTTATGAAAATTTTTAATTATCAAAATGTATTCTAAAATATGTTTTCATACTATATCATATCATTGAAATATTTCAAAGATAATATTGTTATAGATCAACTTAGTATAAAAATACGTAAGAGTATTTTATGACAGATATTAAATGATATTCATTAATCATCGATATATTCAAGGATTTCCTATAAACAAATAAGTATTCAAAAAACAAGGTTTTTCTTTTGACAGTACACAGTGGTCGTATTATTTATATCAATGATTTATATGTCAACAACAAGCTATATGAATGGTTGATTATATATCTACAATGTAAAAACATCATGAAATATGTATTTTTCTTAGAATAATATTCGACTAGTGATAGTAATTAGATAATGAAGAGTTCATTTTTCTAGGTTAGGAATACATCCGGATGCCGTTTCTTTTTTTTTCTATTGAAAAACTCTATTATTAAAAAAATGATCAAAAATGAAGAAAAAAAAAAGTTGAATAAAACATTATTTCATACAATAATCAGATATTTATTAATAAAAATAGAACGAACGAGAGAAAATAGATTTATCTTAAAAATATCTTCATAACAACATCAACTAATAGTTTGTCGAGTCAATTATTTATAAAAATCAAAATCAAAAAATTCGATTATTTTTCACATGAATAATTATTGATTCAATTTTTTGTTTTCGTCCTTGTTGAACTATATTTCTTTTTTAATAAATTTACCGTGTAAACTTGTAACTATATGCATGAATACAAAGTGATGCTTGAAAAAACAATTTTCTCTTTCTTTTGTTAACATCATAATAGAACTAATCATTCTTATTGAAAAAAAAGGTTTCCGCTCAATGTGAAACATATTCTGACTTGTGAAAATAAGAAAAAAAAAGGAACTCTTAAATTTATATTCATGCGTAAAGATCATGAAAACAGCAAGTAATCAAATGTTTTAGTAGAAAAAGAAAATGTTTCTTCGTTCTATTTATTATGTCAGAAA